TTTCGTCGAAGGTCTTCTTAGTAGTCTTTTAGCAAGTGCCGTGATGATTCTAGTTTCAATTGTTGCTTGTTTTCGTTGTATTTTTGCTTATGTTAGTAGATTTTAGTATTTCTGCTTTCTAGGTTGTATTTGTAATTTCTGTCAAAAATTAAAAACGGTATTACAATATCAAAAAGTTTACCAAAAAAAAAAAAAATAGTTGATAGATAAAATATCAAATCAACAAAACATCATACTAGTAGAGGAATAGTATCCAGCAGCAAAAGTGTCTTATTTTATAATTTCAAGATCAAACCCACTGGTAAACCTTTCCTCGCGGATAAAACTGTACAGCATTTCCTACTTGCGATGAAAGAAAACATATTTTATGATATCATCGATGACTGGATGAGAGATTATTACAACACAAACAAGTAATGATAGTTGCAAATTAAAAGGGTAAGTAAATATTATAATGTTCTTATTTTGTTTTGAATTAATATTATAATGTTCTTCTTTGCCCAATAAGAAGAAATCAATAAAAATCAATCTATGCAATACAGAGTTTCGTCCATATAGACCTTTGAGGAAAGAAGTAGGCAGAGAAAAGAAGGGAACGACTTGGTTATAACTTAAAATAGTACATAATTGGTACTCAGAGATGAAGAAGTTTAAAATTGATTGGCTGCAACTTTGAGCTGAAATAAGTTTTAAAAAAGGAATGTTGGGCGTTGACTTTTGATAGTTTGAGCAATCAGATATATTCGTCACTGTTTGAATTCTTATAATGTTACGGCCATAACAAACAAGTAGCATTGCACCAGAACTGGTCCAAAGAGACAGGTAACTGAACCTTGCCTATAAATAACCGTCTCAGATGTGCTTCCTTGTTTAACAAGTATCAGTCTTCATTGACATAATGAGGAGCACCAATAGTTACTCCTTTTCGATTCTCCTATCTTTTCTAATTCTACCCATCCTTTGTTCGAGGTCTTGCAGACTGGAATGTGGAGACATCCAGATCCCGTTCCCCTTTGGTTGCTATCTCGACGAGTGGTACAAAATCGACAGTCAAACAAATGCTACTTCAGGGAAAAAGTTTCCGCAAGATCAACATGGAGGTTGTGAAGATTTCCCTTCCGTCCAGCGGAAGGTTTACTGGTGAGCAGCCAAGACAGAGAAGACTACGATAAAAATAGACTATGGGAAGCGCACAGCAAAATGCACATGCGGCAATCGTACAATTTCATGACTTTTTATGCAGATATTAATGAGTGCCTAGAACATGAAACACTCTGTGAGGGAGACAGTTGTCAAAATAAACCGGGAGGTTATAGATGCGTGAAGGACAACAAATTTGAAATCATGAAAGGTAATTCACTGAATTTATAGATATTATCAAAGATTATTTAGAAAACGGCCATGATGAACGTCTAGTTTTTCTTGTAGCGGCAGGTTTTTGTGTCTTAATCATATTCGGTGGAATATGGCGGTTTATAAGGTTTCTTAAAGAGAGAAGGATAACAAAGCGCAAGAAGAAATTCTTCAAACGTAACGGAGGACTATTGTTGCAGCAACAATTACATACAACTCAAGGCAACGTCGAAAAGACAAAAATATTCACCTCGAGGGAGCTAGAGAAAGCCACCGATAACTTCAACATAAACAGGGTCGTTGGACAAGGTGGTCAAGGAACAGTGTAAAAAGGTATGCTTGTAGATGGTACATCTGTTGCAGTAAAAAAATCAAATATTGTAGATGAAAATAAAGTACAAGAGTTCATCAACGAAGTCATCATTCTCTCCCAGATCAACCATAGACACGTCGTGAAGCTCTTAGGATGTTGCCTTGAGACAGAAGTTCCCGTTCTTGTCTACGAGTTTATCAACAACGGAAACCTCTTCCAACATCTCCATGAAGAATTTGACGACTACACAGTGTTATGGGGTGTACGTATGCGCATTGCCGTAGATATCGCAGGTACAGTCGGGTATGTGGATCCAGAGTACTACGGATCAAGCCATTTTACTGAAAAGAGCGATGTCTATAGTTTCGGAGTTGTCCTAGCCGAGCTAATTACTGGTGAGAAGCCAGTGATAACCCTTTCGGATACTCAAGAAATAACAGGGTTGGCTGATTATTTCAGACTTGCAATGAAAGAGAATAGACTCTTTGAGATCATCGATGCTCGGATAAGAAATGATTGCAAGCTAGAACAAGCAAATCTAGCAATAAGGTGTCTGAAGAAGACAGGGAAGAGTCGGCCAGATATGAGAGAAGTTTCTACAGCTTTGGAGAGGATCTATTCATCTCCAGAGGAGTTTCAGGTCCAAATTCAAATTGATGGAGCAGACAAGTTATACAGAGGCGATTCTTGCAGCTCAGTGACTGCAAGAACAACAATGTGAGGTAATTAAGTGTGTAAATTAGATGCTCTTCTTAAGTTTTGAATAATAATGTTGTTACATTTGATATACTTTTGTAAAGGCTTGTTAAATTTGTGTTTTGTATAACTCATTTGATACGAGTGAATGTGGTTCTGATTTTCAGAGACAACAACTTTTCAGTTCCATTGCTTGACCTAACATCTCTCTAATAAACCAGTGTCTCATCTTATGTTTACGGACAGATTCTAAACTAGAATTCAATACTAAATAGAGAAATTTATGGAATAAATTAAGCCAAGAAAGAGGAAGTAAAACTTTATAAATGTAATTAGACAAAAGAAACAAAACAGAAGTCAATGCCCGAACCATACAAAAAGGTGATTTGTGCATGGTGCGTTCTTGACTTCCATTTTCACTAAATAATACCATTCCAAAAACAAAAACAAAAAACCCAAAAGAGAGTGAAGAGAGGAGACAAAATACCCAGAAGAATAATGATTTTCTTACACTCTTCACAGGCATTGAAGACAAAATAAGTACTTTAATAACTTCACTTTCTCTGATCATTGAAGACCCTTCTCAGAAATCAGATAGGACTTGGCTTTTAATGGCGTCTCGAGCAGTTGAAGGACAATTCAAGGTGGTTTTAATTTGGTGGACAGTTGTATTGATGAGATTATTAACTGTTTCCATTGACTCCATATTCAATTTTGCTGATTGCAAACTACTCACCATTATTTGAAACCCAACCGTTATCAATGAGCCACCTTCTCCTATTCCTTCTCCTTTGTGCTCTGTGTTTGCGTTATTGCTGGTTCCGTCTGGTGAAATGGCGAATCCCGAAGGTAAAATGGGAATATAAGACGTGTCTTGACCGCTCATTGCTATGTTCAATGCTGGTAGATCCACTGGAGTGTAGACCACGAGTGAGCCTGATGAGTCTATGCAGCTTTCTTGTAGAATCAGCATGTTGTTTTGTGATGATGCATTGAATCCCTAATGAAAATAAGGAACCAGTTTATCGTTGAGTAGAATCAAGAATCGGAAAAATTGTTAGTTTTGAATGAGGTAGCTTACCCGCAGAACCGATATGCAGTTTCCAAGATGTGATCCGTTTGAGATATGAGAAACTTCTTGAACCGAGTTTCCATTCGAAAGAACATCCCACTATAAAACCGAAAAAATTGTCAAACGTGAGTTAACAATTTATCAAGCTCCAGATGATGTTAATGCGTGTAGTACCTGAGGCCGAGTTCTTTCATCTTTGAGGAAATTGAAGACGTTTTGAGGAGAAATTGGGAGCCAGAAACTGGTGGATGCACATAGAACCATTCCATTTGGTTCATGCCGGCTCTTATGTGAAGTCACACGGATTCCAAATTCATCCAATCCGGAAACAACCGTTGAGCGAGTGTTGTTAGATGTGCCAACACTCAAGCAGAAGTTGGTTACCATTCTTTGAGCAAGTCTCATTATACTTCTCTTTCCTTCCGCCGATGGAACCACTAAATTGTTTTGCAAATGTGTTACTTATGATTTACCAAGTTGATTGACTAAGATTTTGAAAATGTACATCTTTAGTTACCTCCTCCGAGATCACGAGATGAGGTTGCGGGTTCTAGTAGAGCCGCGAATCTCTCACACATTCTTTGGAGATTAGCCACCCAACGGTCAGCTCCAAAAGCTAATCCTTTATGAACACTATCTTTAAACATCTCATGAATTGGTTCTTGCGCCTCGATTTCGACATGTTCGACCCAAGTAACCTGTTTTTGTATATTCAAAATATACAATCAAAACGATTCGACATGCTAAAAAATGAAGCCAAAAAGGACGGTTACACACCTTGGAATAACCATTGGACATGTCTTGAACCAAGCAACCAGAAGGAAGTCTGTATGACCGAGACTGAGATATAAACTGAGGAAACTCATAAGAGACATTTACAATTGCCCAAGTTCCAGGTTCGATTTGCTGACAGTATCTTAGCACACAGAACTCACGTGTCGCTACAAATGGCGAAAGCATTTGCATCTCTTCAAGCATCTAAACACAAACCAAAGCAAATTTAATCAAAAGTTTACACAAAAAGAAAAGTATGGTTCCCCAAAAACTAGTTGTTCATTTACCAAATGCAATGCATCTCCATGAGTACCACGCATTCCAGATGAAATAACCGCAAGAGTTTTAGTCGATGCAACAATTGAGGGAAAGAGCTCTGCCGATTTAACCTGCAAATTAATGAAAAACTATATAAGAAACACACAAACTAAACCAATGGTGAAAGAAACTTCAGTCTTGGTTAGTTACTTACAGAGTCCATGAGCATGTCCACAAGTGTCATAGCGTTAATGAATACAACACCAGAAGATCTAGATGCTTCGATACGAAGGTTACGGTTCTTTCCTCCACGATTACTTGATCTTGGGAATAAATTCTCATAGCTATCAAGATTGAGAACGTCTCTGGATCCATCAGTTTTGATCCATAGAGGCTCATTTGCTTGAAGAAGCCTAAGCAATTCTTCCATAGCAGTCACAGCAATGTTGGTCATAATAGACTTATCCATCTCTGTCAAAACCAAGTTTGGTTGAGATGGCAAATTAGGAACAGCCATTGAAGAACAACTTCCTGGAAGAAGATCAAAATCAAGTGAAGGACCACTATGAAATAACTCTAATGGCGAAACGTGCATCGAATTTAGTAATGGTGGTAGATGAGAGATTGGTCTCCCCATGAATTTAGCAGCAATGCTTGAAACCCTTTCGAGCTACACAAAAGAAAAACATCAAAATATTAATGGAAGTCTTAACCACTAAATGCATCAAAGAGGTTACAAAAAGAAAAACCAAAACCTCTTCTCTAAGCTGTGCATTTTCGATACGAAGCTTCTGTTCATCAAAGTAAGAGTCTTGATTAATAGGAGAATCACCACAGTTAGGACAAATGGCATGCTTAATAGCTTCTCTAATCGCAATGTTTTCGCAACGAATCTTATCATTCTCTTCTTTGAGTTCACGATTATCAGCTCTCTCGTGTTGTGCCTACAAACAAACAAAAAGAGAAGCAAAATTAAGGCTTTTTCCCCTTATGGAGACAAAACAAGACACAGAGAGAGAGAGAGAAAAACTAAACCTTCTTTTGAGTTCTTCTGTTTTGAAACCAGAACTTGATCTGTGTCGGAGCTAAACCCAATTCTTTACTAAGTTGCATCCTCTGTTTCTCATCTGGATGTTGACACTCATTGAAAGTCCTGTAAACAAAAAAACACAAAATCATCAACAAACAGTAAACAAAAACGAGAAGAAGAAAAAAGGGTTTTATACGATTCGAGGCGTTGGATCTGGTGAGGTGTGTGACGATGAAATCG